CCAGGAGCTTGTCCATGTGCCTTATTGTTTCTGTCGGCTGTTTTAGCCTTTTCTGGCATGATTTAATCCTCCAAGAGTTTCCGCGTTAAAGGCCTTCAGAATTATTTAGATTATATTTTTAAACCCTAATCAGTAAAGACAGTGAAAATAAAATAAAAGCAACAGAAATGTGGTTTCTTAGGAGACTGTTAAGAGTATTGTGGAAGGAAAAGAAATCAAATGATGTAGTGCTTGATGAAGCCCACGTGAGACGCTCAATGTTAAAAATAATCAGGAAACGATAAATGAAGTTTTTGGGACACCTGAATAGACATAAATAAGGGTCTTGAACATCTAGCCTTCACTGGCAAAATTGAGGGCAAGCGAGGCAGGAGTAGGCACAGAACAACATACTTAGGGAACTTAAACAAATGGGTAACAGGAAAAGATCAGGGAAACGTAGCTTTTTTGAGAGCATCCGAGCAGAGGAATGAATGGAACACCATGATTGCCGATGTCTGTCACATATCTGGCACTGGATGATGATGAACCAGAGGATGGTTGGTGGGTGCTCTGGTGTGGTTTGCTGCTTCTTCTTTCCTATCAAACATCTACCTTCCTTATCTCCCCTTCTTCTTTTTATGTTTGTTACTCTCTTGTAACACCTGTAATCTTCTGGCACTCATATGACCTTATGCAGTTGTGAGCGCCGTAAAACCTCTACTAAAACAAAACAAACACTAATCTATATCATAGCCTGCTCACTTTCGTTTGTCTACGTTAAAAAAAAAAAAATTTTAATCTCGCTCATTGAATTTATTAATTTCCCAAAGCACATGATAACGTTGCAAGGTGCTGCGTAGGTCAGGGACTAAACAGAGATTTTCAATACATGTAGATCTATATACTTCTTTCAAAATAACTTTTTGTTTAAAAATCGTGATTTAATAATTTTGAAAAATTCTTCATTTGCGCCCCTTTGGCCCATTAACACCATCCCTTGGGTACATGCACGGGATCACAACAACAATTTATAATATAATTTACGATAACACATCCGACGAATTGATCTTTTCGAGATGTCGAAATCACGCGGCTCCAGCCACACTTCCGTGTTGGCTTGTAGATTTCATCCCAAGACCATCTAGACATCTCCACATGAGTTTTGAAAAGTAGGCCTACTCACCCGTCTACCACCCCC